GCCTGTGGTCCCAGCTACTTGGGAGGCTGAGGCAAGAGACTCGCTTGAGCCCAGGAGTTGGAGGTTGTTGTGAGCTGTGACGCCACAGCACTCTACCCAGGGGGACAGCTTGAGGCTCTGTCTCAAAAAAAAAAGAAAAGAAAATTTTTTAAATTTAGATGAGCAGGCGGTACCTGTAGCTCAGTGGGTAGGGCACCAAATACATACACCGAGGCTGACAGGCTTCAACCCACCAGGCCAGCTAAAAACAACAATGACAACTCAACAAAAAAATAGCCAGGCGTTCTGGTAGGCACCTGTAGTCCCAGCTACTTGGGAGGCTAAGGCTAGAGAATCGCTTATGCCCAAGAGTTTGAGGTTGCTATGAGGTATGACACCACAGCACTCTACCCAGGGTAACAGTTTGAGACTCTGTCACAAAAATAAAAAAATAAAATGTTTAGAAGAGCATAAGCAAAAGAGGCACCTGTATTCTCACTACCCGAGACAGTGCTGGAATTTAATTTAAATTATCAGGGTACAGAATTTATACTCTAGTTCAGACTGCTGGCTCCACTAAAACATGTTATTAAAGCCCATTTAAATTTGTTGATCCTTTCTACAAGCTCTTAATATATATTATCTCATTCATCTACACAATACCAGCTCAATGCAGGAATTAAGAGTAAGGACTCTAGAGCCAGACCGCCTGGATAGGAACTCCAGTTCCACCACTCACTAGGTAGGTGAACTTGCATGCTTAAAACCTCTCAGTGCCTCCACCATCCACATTTATAAAAAGAAGCTAAGAATAGTACCTACCTGAGAAAGACACCATGAGAATTCAAGCAGTTAGCATTTGAAAAACATCTAAGAGCATGTGCCAACACTAAACAGGCATTTGCAAATACTATGTCAAAACTAAACTACCCTTTCAATTTCCAAGTGGATAAATTGTCTGCATTATTTTTCCACAAAACACTTTGTCTGGCTATCTTACAAACAGGCCTTGTAGTTAGGTAGAGAACTGTTCTTTTTTTTTTTTTTTTTTTTGAGACAAGAGCCTCCAGCTGTCCCCCTGGGTAGAGTGCTGTGGCATCACAGCTC